AACAAACTTTCCCAGGTGGTGGTGGTGGTAGTGGTTGTTAGGTGCTGTCAAGTCAGTTTCAACTCATAGGGACCCTATGTACAACACAACCAAACACTGCCTGACCCTGTGCCATCCCAACAATTGTTACGCTTGAATTGATTGCTGCTTTACTGTACCAGTCCATCTCTTTGGAGTCTTCCTTTTTTTTTTTGCTGACCCTCCATTTTACCAGACAAGATGTCCTTACCCAGGAACTAGTCCCTCCTGATAACATGTCCAAAGTATGAGAGACAAAGTTTCACCAACCTAGCCTCTAAGGAGCATTCTGGCTGTACTTTTTTCAACATAGATTGGTTTGTTCTTCTGGCAGTCCATGGTACTTTCAATATTCTTCAACACCATAACTCAAATGCATCAATTCTTCTATGGTTTTCCTTATTCATTTACCCACTTTTATATGCATATGAAGCTATTGAAAATACCATAGCCTCTGTATAGGAAACCCTATACAGAGTTGCTGTGTGTGGGAACTGACTTGACAACCTACAGTCAGCCAGCTGATGTCTATTGTATTCTTAGAATTCTAAGAATTTACCAATTTTATGTTTGAATTTTAATTTCAATTTCAAAATATCTTTTATATTCAATTTTTTGCATGTAAAAAAAACTTATCTTTGAAGTAATGACTATAAAATGTAGGCTATTTCTTAAGTTAGTGTTTCTCAAATTTTGAGGAAACATGGCTACAAATAATTCTAAAATTAATATAGCAATACAAACAATGTAAGTGACAGAACTGCATTTGTACCCAAACCTGGAAACAGAGCCCATTTATTTGTACATACTGCCATTAGTCTTGTTTATGGGGAAGATAAGATACTATAGAGCTTAGTGATGTTGTTAAGTGTCATTGAATCAATTCTGATTCATAATGACCCTGCATAATGTTTTCAAGGAGTGGCTGGTGGCTTTGAACTGCCAACCTTTCGGTTCTAACTGACTTTGCGGTCCAATGCTTATCCTACAATGCAACACAGTAATGATATGGATATGTAAATGCTACTATATAGTTTTGAGTCTCTGCAAGAGGAAAGATAACATTTTAGGATTAATGGTAGAAGTTAGTACCATGGCATAGGGGTTAAGTGCTGGGCTAACGCACCAGCTACTCCTTGGGAGTAGCTTCCTTAAAGATTACAGTCTTAGAAACTCTATGGGGCAATTTTATTCTGTCCATGAGTCAAAACTGATTCAAAAGCAATGGTTTTTGAGGGAAACTATTTAAAGGGCGTTCCTGTGACTAGACTATTCTTATGATACTAAAAAAAGTATGGGACTAGATTTAGTACTGGGTTTCATTAGCCTGTCTGTAAATAATAAGTCCACCCCTTGGAAATGTACATTATGTCAGCACATCATAAACTCCATCTAAGTGAGAACTTACTCTGTCTTGTGCTCCCAGTACCTAAAAACAGTGCCAAAAATGAACAGATACTTGGGAAACATACGTTAAATAATGAGCCGCCATACAATAAGTATTGGACTGCGAACCACAAGGTTTGCAGTTCGAGCCTACCAACTGCTCCACTGGAGAAAGATGAGGCTTTCTGCTCCCACAAAGATTTAAAAAGCCTTGGAAACCCTATAGGGTTGCAATGAGTCAGAAACAACTCAAAGGCATTTAACAACACAACCTTCTTAGTATGTTATATTTCTACTCTTAATTTTCCTGTATCCTGAATTAAATCTTGTGTATATTTCTATAAACTATATGAGGATGTCAACAGTATTTGTTGTTGTTGTGAAGTGCCATTGAGTCGGTTCCGACCCAGTATAGAGTATTTTAAAACAAATACACTTTTAAAGAATTGCTTGTAAGAAAATTCCTCCGAGCAGCATGTCTCCTGCCCTTTGTCCTTGGAAAGGCATGCAGTAATCTATATATAGTTCATCTTGGGTGTTCCTGTGCATGCCCCACATACTAAATTGTCCCATATATTTTCACTTTTGAGCTCTCCAGCTAAAAAGTAGAGACAATGTAGTTGAATTTTTCAAAACAATGTGAAGACCTTCAAAGAAATTTCGAAGTGATGCTGTCAAATCCTCTCCCACTTGTGTTATTGTTGTTGAGTGCTGTCTTGTCATAGCAACCCTTATAGGATTTCTGAGGAGCGGCTGGTGAGTTTGAACCACTGACCTTGAGGTTCAAGCCAGCCTTAAGGTCTGGTGCTTATCCTACAGCGCCACACCTAAACTCCAGAATGATATATTGCCCAGTCCTGCACCACCTTTCACAACAGAGTGTTGTTGCACTCACTGTAACCATTCATCTCATTAAGGGTGGTCTTTGCCTTTGCTGGCCCTCCATCAAACATGATGTCCCTCTACAGTATCCCTCTTGATGACTCATCCAAGCAAGCTGAAGTCTCAGACAACTTCTATGATCCATGGGGTTTTCAGTGGGTAATTATGGAAGTAGATCAGTAGACCTTTCTTCCTAGTCTGTCTTACTCTGGAAGCTTCCACATGGATAACCTTGCTGGTTTGTGAAATACCAGTGCTATTATTTCCAGCATTACAAGTCCTTTACAAGTAAGCCACTATAAGCCAGTAAACTGACAGGCAGGTGGTGGCTGATGAGAAACTACAAGCTACTCCTTTCCAATATAACTGACCTGGGTTTGCTAACCTCTCTTGGGGACCCTGCAATGCACTTGTCTCTGGCCAACTTACTACTCCTCCTGATAGAACCTGGGCTGGGAGGGTGTCCAAACCTCCCTCTCTGCCTGCTGATGGCACCTCCCTTATTCGTCTTCTGTTTGGAATGGGAATCACTGAGTCATGACTTCACACTTGGCTCATTTCATTTCCTCCAGCCCACACTCCGACCAGGTAACTGACGGCCCTCAATTATTTCTGCCTAAAAGTGAATGCCATCCACTCCCATCTTTGGGAAGACTAAGGATTCTAATGTGGGAAAGAGAAGCTTTTAAAGGTCCAAACTCCCTTAATAAGAAAGGGGTCCTTGTACTGTCCTCCTGAGACACACTTTTCCAGCTGCATCTTGTACGCCATCAATCCTTCCTTTTTTGTCACAATTATACAAAACATTTCAAAATCTGCAATGGGATATGAATCTTCAGTGATCATAGTGCATCATGTTTTCTAGGTCCAGTATTAAATTTCTTTTGTATGTCTAAATAAGTTCCATTATACAAATATGTCACATTTTGTGTATCCATTGATTCATTTGTTCATTCAAATGGAGATTTGGTTTGTTTCCACTCCTTAGCTATTATGAAGAATACTCCTATAAACACTTGTGTACATGTGTTTGTGTGAACACAATCTTTTAATTCTCTTGCATGAGTGAAACTAGTAGATCATATTTGTTGTTCCTTGTAGTTAAGTGCTGTCCAATCAATTCTGACTCATAGGACCCTGGATAAAGTTTCTGAGGAGTGGCTGTTGAGTTTGAACCGTCCACCTTTCAGTTAGCAGTCCAGTGCTTAGTCTATAGTGCTACACCAGGACTTCAGTGGACCATCTTTAAGTGTATTTAACTTATTATTGTTGTAAACTGAGTGAAGGTTTGTCAGTTTTACATTTAACAAATCACACACTTTGTTTCATCTCAATGACTGCAACCCCCTCCATGCAACAACAGTTATCCCACTTCCTCCCTGTGCTTCCTACTTCTTTCCCATCGCTTCTCAATGTTGCCCTTAGATAAATGTTGCCATTTTGATCTTGAATGATTGTTTCATGATGAGTATACTTTAAAGTGGCTGTGCCATTTTATATTGCCAGCAGGAATTCATGAGGGTCCCAATTTCTCATATTTTTGCCAACATTTGTTATCCATGCTTTTTTATTATAGTCCTCCTGGTGGAGGTGAGGAATCCCTGGGTGGTACAAACAGTTAATAAACTCAGTTGCTAATCAAAAGGTTGGAGTTTCTGGTCCACCTACAGGCACCTAAGAAGAAACACCTCACAATCTACTTCTGAAAAATCAGCCACTACAAGTTGGGCTGCTATCTCAAGGTCAATAGTTCACGATTCAGAACTACCAGCTGTTCTGCGGGAGAAGGATGAGGCTTTCTGCTCCCATAAAGATTTACAGCCTCGGAAACCCTATATAGGGTCAATATGAGTCAGAACCAACTCCACAGCACACCACCACCACCACAAAGGGTTCTGTATACCTTCTGTATATTAGGCACTTATCACTTGGATTCAATTCTAAATTTTTTATTTCCTTTCTATTCACATAACAGAAAATACATCTTTCCTTGTTTTTCCTTTCAGTGGGTAAATCATAAAAAGAAGAGAAAAAATATGAAAACAAACTTATTCTCTCTCTTTAGTAGTTTCCTTGGGCTATGGCTAAAAGGGGGTGGGGGGAGAGTACAAACAACAAGGTGGACTAAAATTTGTTTCTCACCAAATGAATAAATAGAAATACAGAATCTGTCTTTTTTTTTGGTTCTAAACTAGTCACAAAAAGAACTGAGGATAAGCGGCAGGGGACTTTGGATCCAGAGAGGGAAAGGGACTGTGGGCCGAAAACTGAGGGGGGGGGGGGGGAAGGGTAGGGGGCGGATCTCTAGGATATACCCTTTGGTTGATGATGCATGGAGGGGATTGGAACCATGGCAATGAGATCATTTAAAAAAAAAAAAAAAAGAACTGAGGATTATAGAAACGTTAGATTAAAGAGGGGTGGACACGGTTGCCTACATTCCTTCCCACAGGGGGAATAAAGATACTTCAAAATGGATCAGGTATGTGAAGATCACCCGGTTCTGCATTTCACTTTGCCTGTATTTACTTCTCCATGGATTTCTTCAAGTAAGACATGAACAAGATGCCACATAAAACCATAATCAGGGTATCCTTGTTCTTGATCACAACTGGAATATACTGGTGGCAGGTACAAGAAATTCATTCCTGGTGAAATCTGGGGCCAAATTCCAAAAACCATTCCTTTTAGGGAAGGGTAGGAGGAAGATTTGTATGTGTGACCTCATCCAAAAGGTTCCAGCCCTAAAGGATATAAATAAGAGTGTGAGTTGTCAGTCTTCCCAGTTCCAGGTGCAGGAGTTTTCCAAACAGATCAACACCATGAAGGTTCTCAGTTCCACGCTACTGCCACGGAGGCTATTTCTGTGCCTGGCACTGCTGGTTTCTTCTGCCATTTCTGCAAGTACCTATGACAATAGCTGTGTGGTCTTCTATGAGTTCTACACCATCAATGACCCAGCGATCACAGTCAGCCCAAAATCCTATGAGAGCAACACACACTACAAAGGTAAGTAGAAGCGATTCGCTCTGTTGTTGTTGTTGGGATTCTGACTCATGATGACCCTGTATAGGGTCTCCAAGGAGCAGCTGGTGAGTTTGAACCGCCTGCCATGCAGTATCAACCTTGCGGTCCAGTGCTTATCCTACAGCACCACACTAGGACTCCTGTTTTTTATTATGTGAAGAGAGTTTCAACTGGAATTTTAGAGCATAGCCCTCCATCTCTGCTTTCGAGCTTAATAGAAAGTAGTGGGGCGGGTGAGGGAGAGAAAGTATTCAAGCATGCGAGAGTGTGTTTGGATGGAAGTATGTCTGCATGTTCCCTGTGCAAACCTGAGCCACTGGAGCCATTAAATTCCAGTCTCCAGGTTAACAGAACCTCCACAAAAGAACACCTGGAGCAAGTTCGGGCTTAAATACATTGGGCACTGTTATTATGATTTAGCGTAATGGTAATTGCATCACATTAACTAGCCTTTTCCCCATCCATGTGATGAAATTATGACTGCCATGGGTGATTGTATACTGCTTAACCACAGGAGGCACTTTTATATTCATTCTGTGGTGAGCAACTAGTGAGCTAGACAGGTTGTTTATTTCCTTATAGGTGAGGAGCCTGAAACTCAAAGAAGGTAAATGATTGGGTCAAGGTTTCACCACTTGGAATCCAGGTCTTTACATTCCTAATCCACTGCTTTTCCTGGAGGTGTCTAGTAATAGTTTATAAATATTTTGGAGGGGGATTAGCAGAATCTCTTAGTCAAGGAATGTGCTTCCTGATTAGTTTCATAATAATAGCAATAACAATATTTCATATGGTGCTTTACAAGTATTAATGCATTTCCTCCTCATAGCAACCTGTTGGGTAGACATTATTATCACTCCCATTTTATAGAGGAGAAAACTGAGGCAGAGGTGCTAACTGACTTTCACAGATCACAGAGCTACTATAATGGTGGAGCCAGGATATGAATGCAAGTATTCTATCACCAGAAATGGCACCCTTAACTGCTACATGATATGCTTCTCAAGAATAGTAATGAGAGCTGACACTTCTTACGATCAGCTAGGTATTTTAGGAGAAAATACTATTATTTTCCCAATTTTACTGATGAAAAAGTAAGGAACAGGGAATTTTTTTTTTTTTTTTTTACCCAAAGGCACAAAGATAATAAGTTACACAGCTAATTTTTAACGTAAGTAACACAGTCAGAATTTGTCCAGCTTTGTCCAGCCAGGCGGTCAACTTCAGAGCCTGTCTTCCTATCTACTGTTACTCTACCTCTCTCAGAACGCCAACCAAATCCTGCAGACAACCAGAGTGCTATCTACCTCCTTGTTCTAATGCTTCAGGCTTCACCTGGTGAACCACTATGGGAAGTCTTCATACATTCCTCCTGGTTGTTGCTCATTAATTTTTCTCAGGGGAACTATCATTGAATGCTTTGGTTGTTGGGGAGCTAAATATTTCCCACTTACTCAGGCAACAGATCTTGTCCTACCAGGGCAGGACCAGGTGGGCACATGTGTGGCCTGGTGAATGAAGAAGGAGCTGGTGGGGAGGGGTGGTCAGAAGGACTCCTGAGAAAGAGATGACAGGCCCCTGATAGAAGATGCAGGTCATGAGGTGTTGGAATGGAAAGGAAAATCGCACCTGTTTTTTGAAGATGCTGTGGAGCGAGAGACATGAGATCTGGAAGTCTTCTAGAAGTAGGAAGACAGGAGAAAGAAGAGCTATAAGACCCTTGAGAAGGAACAGGGAACACTCTGGGATGAAAGGGAAACCACAGCCATTCTCCAGGCCTTAGGGGAGCAGAATGGAAGTGGGAAGACAAGGAGGAAAGGAACTGAGGCTCCCTGAATGCCTCCTATGTGCCATACCCTTCCCCAAACTTCACGTCTTTTATCTCAGCAGGAGCAGAACGGTGCTAGAGCCTAGGATAAACTGGGCTCTGTGTGAGAATGATCTAAAGGGAGGCTCCAAATCCTATGCCCTCAGAGATGTGCAGTGCAGGTTCCACAGCTGGTATGACAGACCAGGTTCCAGGGGTTCCTGGTAGAGCATCATCGCAGGACTTAACAGGCATCCTGGAGGTAGATGAGTCAGTGCCCTCACAGCCAACTGCTTTTCTTATCTTAGTGTCTCTCTCTCTCTCTCTCTCTCTCTCTTTTCTTACATTTTAGGGTGTGTTAACATTGGTAAGTCATGTTTAAATGGCTTGGCAGATCTTAAGAGACAATGTCCTCTTAGGCAATGTCTTCTTAGAGCTCCATCTTGATATCAGTGGGAAAACCCCTTAATGTGTTAACACTGACATTAAACTATTGTGTAGGCATCACACAAGACGGCTGTAGCTTACCTGTCTTTTTCCTTTACCTGTAGCTTTAAGGTTAGAACCAGGACTTCTTAAATCAATCAGTGAGTAGTTATTTGGTACCTTCATGTGCTCACCACTGGGATGGCTGGATACTGACACAGATGAAACCACAGTATACAACTCCAGCCAAAATGGACTTAGAAAAAGAAAAAAAAAAAAAGTTAATGTTTGAGTATCAAGAAGAAAAGAGGGTAGAAGTGTTCAGAAGATGAGGACTTGATGTAGGCATTGAGGACTAAGTGAGGATGGATTGTGTGAAGAGAAGAAAGGAAGGATTTCAGACAGAGAGCCAGATCTGAACAAGAACCAGGAGCAGGTGGGCATGCGTGAGTTTGCGGTACAGAGGGGAAGACTGGCTGCTGTCTGAGTGGGGGTGTGAATAGCAGAGCAGGGCAAAGTGATGAAGGGTCATGAAACTCACGTGTTGTTGTAAGTGCTGTGGAGTGGGTTCTGACCCACAGTGATCTTGCTTCCAAGGAGCGACTGGTGAGTTTGAACCGCCAACCTTTCAGTTCAAACTGACCTTGCAGTCCAGTGCATTAACCCACAGTGCCACAGCAGGACCCTTGAAACTCATATGCGAGGTACTATCGTCAACAGAACACAAGCAGAAACATGTAGATATTTAGAAAAATTAACACTTTGGAGCTTTGAAGAGTATGTACCCTGCAGCAAGAGGGGTTGGAAAAGGAAATCCGGCCAGGCAGCAGCATATTCAAGGCATCCTGAAAGGAGAAATCCTGATAATCCCAGTGCCCACATGGCTCAGGAAGGGAGGAAGGAGGATTTGAACCAGAGGGAAAACAGAGGCACGAATGAGCCCGTTAAGGAGTTGGCAGACTTGCTGACTCTCTGGAGGATACAGTCATGTGTCATCAACCACAGATCTAGGACAAGTTCTCACTGTGGGCTAATGAAATCTGGGTCAGCTGATCCTGAGTGACAAAAAGCAGAGATAATACAATGCGCTAAGAAGAATACACTGATAGCAATCGCAATGGATCCAATGCCCACCATATATTAAAATCTTTATATTTTCATTTTCAAAGATCTCCACATTATAAAGGATAATGTCATTATCTTCAGACTTAGAATTTGACCTGGCACACAGTGGGCAGTCAGTAAATAATTATGGAGAAAACAATAAACAGTAAGGATGCTGAGACACAGAGGTGAAATGACTTGCTCCTAAATGTCAGAGCCGGGATTTAGATGCAGGATTGTCTTGATCTAATTGTGCTATATGATCAGTTTTTCTTCACTTTGTGAAGAAAAGAGCTTTGAAGGTATTTCAGATGTCTGAGGCAAACTTGGAAAACAACACCCTAGCATGGAGGAATTTGCTCAGAAGAGATCTCTTAAAGGAAGAAATGTATGGTTGTTTTGTTAGTTGCCTTCCAGTCGGCTCTGAATCATAATAACATTCTTATGAACAGATTAAAATACTCTCTTGAAATTCCCTCCCCATGACACATTGTTGTTGTTATGTGCTGTGGAGTCAGTTCCGACTCATAGCGACCCTGTACAGGGTTTCCGAGGCTGTAAATCTTTACAGGAGCAGAAAGCCTCATCTTTCTCCCACGGAACACCTGGTAGTTTCGAACTACTGACCTTGCAGTTTGCAGCCCGATTCGTAACCACTACGCTACCAGAGTTCCTTCATGACACATTAGAATGCTGAAATTATGTTTCTTTCACCATTAGTACAGTTAAGTATCAGTTAGGTCCCCACATGGTTCATGTTGGGCTAGGTCATGGAAGAAAACTAACCTGACCGGAGAAAATAAGGAATAAGCACCAGACTGCGAACCGTAAAGCAGTTGTTCGAACCTACCAACCACTCCCTGAAGAAAGATGAGGCTTTCTGCTCCCGTAAAGATATACAGGGTCCTGGACGTTTAACCACAAGAAGGGATTACCTAGATTACAAACACTGTGGCTCAGAGACCTCCTACTCTATCAAGAACAAAGAGACTGGGAGCTTTTTCTACAATCATGTTCCTTTATGTCACTCCGCAGGGGCACACCTGGTCCTTTCCTGGCAGTCATTCCATTCACCCCCAAGCCTTCCCTGAGAGAAGGGCAGGGCAGGTTTAACACCTTCATTTGGCAGGTGAGGAACCAGGATCACAAAGGTTTCCAGAATGCCCAGGATCACAGCCCCATTTTGTAACAAAACCAGAGCCAGAGCATAGATCTTTTGTCTACCTTGTATTGTAGACAATTTGGAAAACACAAAAAAAGCACTAGGGAAAAAACTGAAAATCATCTGTAATCCCACGACCACGAAATTACCACAGTTAGCGGGTAGGTAGGAGGACGGGATAGAAGGTGTTCATGTTTAGTGGACACTGTTCTAATGTTAAGGGAGATGGAAATTTTGGGATAAGGGTAAGAGCCACACATGATAAAGCACAAATAATGTCCCTGAGCTGTACGTGTGAAATGCTTTGTTTTGTCACATGTATATTTACCACAATAAAAGATAATGATAATTCACCACAGTTAATATATTCTTAGATTTCTTTCTAGACTTTTTCAATCTTTTTTATAAAATTAGGACCATGCTGTGGAGTACTGATGTAGCACTACAGGATGATGCACTGGACTGTAAGGTCGGTTTGAACCGAAAGGTTGGTGATTCCAACAGCACTTAACAACAACAAATATGGACATAATATTTTGAAACTTGCTCTTGTCATGTTGAATTTTGATTTAACAAACCTTATCCCTCTTCTCACTATATATAGATGACTGATTTTTTTTTTCTTTATCATTTCCTCTAGTAAACGTTCCTGTGCAATACAATACTACCTATGTGTACCTGCGAGCTATAGACAAGTTCTCTAACTTAGTAGGAACCTGGCAAAGCACAAGCCAAGAAGTCCACAAATGTAAGGGCTTGTATAATGTAGAAAACTTCAACGACACATTCTTCGAGGCAAACTGGCTATCTCCTAATTCCTCAGACCTAAATGAAGTTGCAATACAGTAAGAACCTATCTATGTGTTGTTTACTTTGATCTTTTAAAATTGCTTATTGGGTTTATGCAATTTTTAATTGATCTTGGAGGGTTCAAAATACAAACCAGATGCAATATGAAAAATTCATACTTTCTGCCTCAGCATTGTTGGTCAGAATGTTTATCTATAGGTGTTTATAAACACACTCCAGTTGTGATCCGCATAAATAGCATGAACTGCTCAACCCACGTGGTTCAAATTCTCTGTCCTCAAACTGAAAAATCATTTTTAAAAATAGATGCATTTTGGAAAGGTCTAGCAGAAATGTCCTTGTGTGGCACTGGAGGATAAGCACTGGACCGCAAGGTTAGTTTGAACCCCAAGGTCAGTAGTTCAAACCTACCAACCCCTCCTTGGAAACCCTATACAGGGTCACTATGAGTCAGAACCAACTTGATGACATTTAACAACAACAACAGCAGTAGAAAGTGTGACGATTGTGTCATAAAACTGGCTTTTTAAGGTCACACCAAATGGATGCATATAGATTCTGAAGTGAGGCCACCTAGAGTCAGTTCACAAACTTGTATAGGGTTTCTGAGGAGTGGCTGGTGGGTTTGAACTGCCAAGCTTGCAAGTAACAATCCAGCATCACACCATGCCTGGCTAGGGATTTGTTAGTCAGGATTATTTTAGGAACAAAAATTTAGGATTATTTTAGGAGACAAATATTGGGAGGTATTTGTGGTTCTGAGTTCTGTTTTATACTAGAAGAACAGGTCTGACGAGTCTGAACAGTCACCGACCTTTGATGATGATGTTATCAAGCCATTCCACCCTCTCCTGCTATACCCTGGGCCTATACCCTGTGGGCTTTGCAGGGTGTTACTGTTATGTCCACAGAGTGACTTGCAAGAGTAGAACCCAACGGGAGCTGCTACAATCCAGTCTCTCTGTGACAGCATCAGCTTAGAAGCCAGCCAAGGCTAATGAGGAAAATCACACTTCTGTCACCTCACCTCATTAAAGCCTTCACACTCCTAGCAAGAACAGGTGAAAAGTCAAACAGCGACACTCTGCAAGAGAAGTAGCACATTCCTGCTGACAATGACAAGGTGGTCTCCAGACCCCACCTGATTTGCACTGTCCATTCTCCTTGCATACAGTATAGACACAGGGCCAGCATCAGCAAGGCTGGTCCAGGAAGGGAGCATCACACAGAGCAGGGCACTCCCTTGTGCTGGGTACTGAGCTGAAGCTGAAGGAGGGTGAAGAGGTCCCTGCCCACAGGACTTCACAGTCAGGTGGGAGAGATAAGGACAATACAGAATAATCACTGAGGTTATACATTGCTTCCTCAAGAAAGCATTCCCTGAAATCCCAGACCAAGACAGGGCTCTCTGGTATACACTAACATAACTTCCACCACTTCCTCAGAGCACACATCACAAGTGTGGTTAATTATTTAATTTGTTGGTTGATTATTTGCTTAAAACCTGTCATTCCAAGGAAATGGAAGTGTCACAGAAAAGTCACTGTCCCCTCAACAGGTAGAGTCCTGGTATGGTGTTGCAAAGAAAAGTATTTGACTGCTGTCCACAAGGTTGGTGGTTCAAACCCACCAGCCGCTCCTTGAAAACCCTATGCAAGGTCACTATGAGTCAGAACCAACTGGATGGCCCTTCACAACAGCAACAACATACTTTCATTAAGTATGTGTAGACTGAATAGGTACCAGGGTAATAAAGGACACTCTGACACAGTAAGAACAAGCCGTACAGGTTATTTAACAAACATTGATAAGCACCTACTATGTGTTGGGTGTTGTGATAGGGGCTGGATAATAAGAAAGAATTGCCAACAGAGCTTGTCTTCAATGTGTTGACTCTCAGATACAGAAAGCGGATCCTTAGTAAATCAACGCCGTCAAGGGTTGTGGCTCTCCGATGAAGATCTGAGTTATGACAACAGGGAGAGAAGACTTTACAGAACTCGAGTCTGCGTGCAGACGTAACAAGGACGGGCATTAGGCATTGTAGGCAGAGAGCCTGCTTGAACAGAGATCACAGGTGTGTGCCTGCCTGAGGATTTCAAGATAAGGAAGTTGGTGGGTGTGGCGGATGGAAGAGGCAGTATGGAACAAGAGTGTGGGGCTCTTATAGTCAAGACAGTATGGTGTTTGTTGTTGTCATCAAGTCAGGTCTGATTCATAGCAACCATGTATAGGGTTTCCAAGGAGCGGCTCAAGGGTTTGAACCTCCAACCGTACTGCTAGCTGTTCAATGCTTATCCTACAGCACTACACCAGGACTCCCAAGACAATATAGAAAACATCAATATTTAATGATCTGCTAATTGTATAGTAAAAGGATTTGAGATTGGGATCCTCAGAGACGGTTCCCCCCCTTGACAAAAATCTGGCCTGAACTTGGTCATCTCACAGACAGGCCCTCACCATGCTCTCTCTCATTGTCTGTCCTCTACAGAGTCATCACTGTGTACAACAATCAGAACGCTACTTACTCTGCTCTGAGGCTGACTACAGGAGGTAAGTTCTCCCCACCCCATTTGTATGTCTGGCAGGTTACTCCATCAGTCTGAAAAATTACTCTGCAGGTACTATAAAATGGGGGTGGGAGACACTTCTAATCACTCATGGAGTTCTCTGGATGGCACAGTTTGCACTCATCTATCTACCAACTGAAAAGAGTCCTGGTGTGGCGCTGTGGTTAATGAACCTGACTGCAAAGCCGTTTGAACTGCAAGGTTCAAGCTCACCAGCAGCTCCTCGGAAACCCTCAACAGGGTCACTATGGGTCAGAATCGACTCCACGGCACTTAACAACAACAACCAACGGAAAGATTGGTGTTAAAACTCACCCAGTGGCACCATGGAAGAAAAGTCTGGTGAGCTGCTTTCACAAAGATGATAGCCAAGAAACCCCTATGGAGCAGTTCTACTCTGTAACACATGGGCTTGTCATGAGTTGTAATCAGCTCAAAGGCAGCAGGGTTTCTGGTTTTAATCATGCATACCTAGGTTACGAATCAGGCTACGAACCGCAAGTTCAGCAGTTAGAATCTACCAGCTGTTTCGCGGGAGAAAGATGAGGCTTTCTGCTCCCATAAAGATTTACAGCCTCAGAACCCCTGTACAGGGTCCCTCCACCTAGATAGCATTGTAAATCTCCCAGCACCTTGAGATCTACATAACATTAGTTCAACACTATAACCCTAGTCCTCCCCAAATTTGGTAAATAAAAGCCCTTTCTAAGATTTCTGCAAATTCCCAGGGCCCTTAGGCCTTCACCTCACCTCTGGTGCCAAACTCATTCCTCTACAGGAACTGTTTCTATTCAACGTCACACTGACTGTAACATCAGCTCCTTCCTCAAGGTCCACAAAGAATTCTCCCTTACAGAAAGCCTTCCTGGGCAGAGTAGCTTTTAATCAAAGGGTTTTAGTGGCAGTGGGGAGGAAAGTTGCACAAACAAGAGCTTATATCATAGAAATACCAATGATGTTATTAGTTCTGAAAGTAGCCTTTCGCCACAACCACAACCAAAAATTTCCACTGACCTTGCACAGTCTTTAGTACCCAACCCAGAGCCATCCTGAGGGCCCTTGCCTTCTTCTTTCTCCCTTCTCTGTCCTTTTTCCTTTCTCTTACCTCCATCCTGGGAGTTAAAACAAATTCTAGAAACTAAAGGTCAGAAAAGATAGATCACTTGTCTAACATTACACAGAAAGTAAATAGCAAAACTAGGACTTAACTAATGAAGAGAATTTTTTTTTAACATTTTATTATGGTTTAGGTTAAAAGTTTATAGAGCAAATTCATTTCCCATGCAACATTTTAAACACATTTTGTTTTGTGACATTAATTGCAATCTTCCTCATTGTAATAGCATTCTTCTGCTTCCTCGCTGGGCTCACCAGTTTCCATTTGCCTTTCTTTTCTCCTTCCTGCCTTCGGAACTTGGTTTTGGAGCAAGTGTTGCCCTTTTGGTCTTATAGGATTGATTATTCTGAGGCGTTCACACCTCCCAGGTATTACTGTTCACTTTATAGCGTAGTGGTTACAACTCGGGCTGTGAACTGCAAGGTCAGCAGTTCGAAACTACCAGCTGTTCCGCGGGAGAAAGATGAGACGTTCTGCTCCCGTAAAGATGTACAGCCTCGGAAACCCTGTACAGGGTCGCTATGAGTCGGAACTGACTCCACGGCACACAGCCAGCCATGGATTGTCTGAAAGGTGATCCCAGGGATGGGTTCCATTTCAGGTTTGAAGGGTGTCTAAGGGCCGTAGTTTCTGGGCTTCCAGTCTCTATCAGACCAGTAAGTCTGGTCTTTTTTATGATTTTGAATTATGTCTTACATTTTTCTCCCACATTGTCCAGCAACATCTAATAAGATCCCTTCCAGAGCAGTTTGTAGCAGTAGGTAGGCACCATCAAGTTCTAGTCCCAGCCTAGTAGAGGCTGTGTGTAGGTCATGTGGTCTATTACGCCTTTAGACTAACTGTTCCCTTCAGTTAAAGAGAAATAGTAAACGAATTTTTTAAATCCAAGCTTCAACCAAGAACAAATAGCATTAGTCATTCTTAGTATCCAGATAAAAGGTTTTCTCCAGGCACCCAAACACTGATATACATCTAACATGTCACCCATTTTCCTCCTAGCCATGCATTGCTAAATGTGCTCAAAAAGGATTTCTATTTTCAACAAATTTTGAAGTGGTTATTCCTAACATTATTATTATTATTATTATGCTGTTATTGTTGTTGTTGCTGTTAGGTGCCGTTGAGTCTGTTCCAACTCATAGAGACCTTATGCACAACAAAATGAAACACTGCCTGGGCCTGGGCCTACCTTTCCATTTTTGTTAAGCTTCAGCCCATTGCTGCTGCCACTTCGCCAATCCATATCATTGGGGGGTTCTTGCTCTTTGTTGCTGACCCTCCACTTTACCCAGCATAATGTCCTTCTCCAGAGACCGACCCCTCCGATAGACAGTATGTGTGAAGAATGAGAGACTAAGTTTCACCATCCTGGCTTCTAAGGAGCACTCTAGCTGTACTTCCTCCAACATAGATTTGTTTGTTCCTCTAGCAGTCCATGGTATTTTTAATATTCTCCTCCAACACCATAACTCAAATGCATCACTTCTACGGTCTTCCTTATTCACTGTCCAACTTTTACATGCATATGAAGTTGTTGAATATACCACGGCTTTAGTCAGGCACCCCTTAGTACTCAAAGTGACATCTTTGCTCTTAAACACTTTAAAGAGGTCTTGTGTAGCAGATTTGCCTAATGCAAATACTATGATATGATATACTATTACATAAAACCTTAATTGTTTCCCTTGGTGCTTTCTCCTCTGTGAAAAGACCAGAATGTTGTTGTTTTTTCCCTCAAGAGCATTTTTTTAGAAGAACACTCCTATAAATTATAAGAAAAAAAAATTTGTTTCTAATCAGAACCCTCTAACTCCAGTTAACATGGAGTCGATTCCTATTTATGATGGCCCCATGCGTGTCAGAGTAGAACTGTGCTCCACAGGATTCCTAATACTTGATTTTTCAGATGTAGGTCACCAGACGGTTCTTCTGAGGTGACCCTGAGTGGGCATGAACCTCCAACCTCTGAGTTAACAGTCCAACAAGTTAAGCACTTGCGATATTCAGAGTCCTCTTATGTCTAAATTCCACACTAATAAAATCCAATTTAAAAAAAAAAAAAAAGTGGTTGTGTTCAGACTTTCTGGCTCAGTAGGATGCCACAGGAACATTTGCTTTGGGAAAATGCTGAGTGAGATAAGACTGCATAGCACAGCTGGAAGGCACCCTCCAGGCAGGTGGAGGGGTGGTGGTGGGGAGAAATGCACCAATCTGCGTAAATCACTGATGTTTTCTTTGCCCTCTGCCTCTTTCTTATATCAGTTTAATAGAGTAAATTCTAACTCGATAGTGACTATATAAGACAGAATTGGCCAAGGCTTTCCAAAACTGTAATCTTTATGAGTCCTGTGGTGGCACTGTAGGATAAGCACTGGACTGCTAACCTCAAGGTCAGCAAATTCAAACTCACCAACCTTGGAAATACCATACAGGTCACTCACTAAGAGTTGGATTCAACTTGAGGACACTTAACAACAGCAATCTTTATGAAAGCAGATGCCACATCATCCTTCAATGTACCAGTTGATGGGTTTGAACCACCAACTGGTTAGCAGCTGAGCATTAACCGCTGCACCACCAGAGTGCCTTTGCTTCTTCTTTAGAGTGCAAATAGTTAAGTACTGACTACTGGCTAAAAGGGTGTTTGTTAGAACCCACCCTGGGGCACCTGGGAAGACAAGTCTGGCCATCTACTTCCAAAGAATTTACAGCCTTAAAAAACATTATGAAACAGTTCTATTCTTCACACATAAGGTCACCATGAGTTGGAATTGATTCAACAACACAACAACAACTTATCCATCTCAGGTTTTCCAGGTTCAGACAATTTCCTAGGGCTACAGAGCTGGTTTTCTTTGCTAACTAAGCAAGCCAAACTCAGAGACTCAGTACCTGGTCAGATCCTCCCATGTAAAAAGAACCAGAGCCTGCAATAGGGTCTGTGATACTGACACCACAGAAAGAGATTCCAAATTTGGATGAGTGTCTTTCCTCTTCCTATGAAGTCAGGATGGCACCTTTCAGTTCTTACAAGCTTTACATGCAATTCTTAAAACTACCAAGAAAAATAAAACTGTGCCTTTCAGGATCATATATGCAAGGACATTGTTGTTGTTAATTGCCATCGAATCGATTTCGACTCATAGAGACCCTATATAGGGTTTCCAAGGAACAACTGGTGGGTTTGAACCGCCAACCTTGTGGTTCTCAGTCCAATGCTGATTCTACAGCGCCACACCAGGTGTCCTCAATGATAATATTAAGGACATGCAGATAGTATGTTAAGGGCAAACTATCTACCCAACAACAAATTCAGCAGTAATATAAACTCAGCAGGTATTGTTCCTCCATAGAGGCCAATGTGTATGATTATACACACCTCAAAGGTAGAGAAGGTTTCTTGCTTATTTTAATTCTTTGACATTCCGTGCCCCCTAGCATCATGCCTCCTCTACACACACTTGTTCTTGATAAGTGTTTATTGCATGTTTCTCATGAAATCTGACTCCAGTATTTCATGTTTCATCAGATTAGCCTCATCTCTCTGATTCTTGCCCATTGCCCAACACAGATTCTGATACCATTGTTTTGTGGTTTTTTTTTTTTGTTTTTTTTTAGTAATGACCACCACCGAGACCAGCCAGACAACAACTCAATGGACAACAACCAGGCCGACCACAGCCAGACCAACCACAGCCGATCTGACCACAGCCAGACCAACCACAGCCGATCTGACCACAGCCAGACCAACCACAGCCGATCTG